CGCCCACCTATTTGTCTTGGTAGATAAAGTCTATCAATGTCACTGCGTGGATGAAGGGCATGATTCATTGTCATTATTTTTCTGGTCTGCCTATCCATTGCTTTTAGTTCTGCTTGAGTCCAGTCCACTATTCTAGCTGTGTACCTAATGACTGGGATTGCCCAGGTGTTGATTGCCTTTATGGTATTTCCTCCATTGAGTTTGGACTTTAAGATCTTCTTCACTCTCTTGATGTATTCACCTCTAATCTTTTTCTTGACTTCAGTGTGCTTGATGTTGTCAGCTTGAAGGATACCCAAGTATTTGTAGTACTCTTCCTCATCCAGACTCTTAATGTTATTTTCGTGGGGCATCTTGATTCCTTCAGTTTTCATTATTTTTCCTTGTTTGATAGTAAGTGTGGCACATTTGTCCAAGCCAAACTCCATTACAATATCTTGGCTATATATACGGACAGTGTTGAGCAGCGATTCTATTTCAGATGATGTTTTTCCATACAGCTTCAGATCATCCATATAAAGGAGGTGGGATAGTCTGGCAGATGTTTTTGATGTTTGATAGCCATGTCCTGAGTTATTCAGTATTGTTGACAGAGGAAACAGTGCAATAACAAATAGTAATGGTGATAATGAATCTCCTTGAAATATTCCTCTCTTGATATTAACCTCTCCCAGCCTCTCACCATTGATCTGCAACTGTGTCTTCCATTGTGCCATCGATCTTTGCACAAATTTTCTGATGTTTCTACTGACTCCTGTTATTTCTAGGCACTTTATTATCCAATCATGTGGCAGAGAGTCAAATGCCTTTTTGTAGTCAATCCATGCCACATTCAGGTTGGTCTTCCTTCTCTTGCAGTTTTCCAAGATCATTTTGTCTATTAGGAGTTGATCTTTTGTTCCTCTGCTATTGGGGCGGTTTCCTTTCTGCTCAGGTGGAAAGAGATTGTTTTCAACTAGATGCTGTTGCACTGCATCAGCTACTACACCAGTTAGTAATTTGAAAGTTGTTGGTAAGCAGGTAATTGGCCTGTAGTTGCCCCTTTTGCTGGATTTTTCATTATTAGGTAGGTTTTCCCAGTTGTTAGCCACTTTTCAATTTCTCCTCCTTGTAGTATATTGTTGAACTGTTTGGCAATGAGTGGGTGTATAACAGTTAGATGTTTCAACCAAAACCCATGCAGTTCATCTTCACCTGGTGCTGACCAATTTTTGATTTTCTTTGCTCTTTTTTCTACCATTTTTGTTGTTATTACTAGTTCTTTCATTTCAACTTCTGTTTTATTTGCATCCACCTCTTTTAACCAAGCCGCATCCTTGTTGTATTTCTTTGGGTTATCCCATATCTGCTTCCAGAACTGCACTGTTTCTTCCTTGTCAGGTACTGACTGATTCCTTGCAGTTTCTCCATTGATGGATTGGTAGAAACGTTTCTGATTGGATTGAAATTGGAGGTTCTGCCTATAGTTTGCAATTCGAGCTTCATATCTACTGATTTTCCTGGCTATAGCTGTTATTTGTTGCTTTATTATTTCCAGTGCTTCCTTGATCTTCCTTGTTTCTAAGTGGTATTTCTTGATTAGGTATTCTTTGGTCTTCTTGTTCTTCAGCTTCTTTTCTTTCATCTGTTCTAGCTTGCTTGCATGTGATCTTAACTTGCTGATCTTATTTTCTAGTCTAACCTTCCATTTTTCTGGTGCACTGTTTGTTTGTTTTTCTTCTTTGTTGATTTTGCATCCCAGGTATTCAGTTATAACTGCAGCTGTGCTGTACATTAGTTGGTTTGTTTCTTGCAGTGAATTGGTGCTTATACTTGATATTGCAGTATTTGCATCTTTTAATGCTTGTGCTAGCTGTTTCTTTGGAACAAGCTTCAATGCAGGCAGCCTTATTCTGTTGTTTTTGTGCTGTTCTAGATGCTCAGTTATTCTTTGTTTCAATTCTTTTATTTCTTTAGTTAGAGGGTTTTGTTCTTCCTGAGGAAGAGGTGCCTGGTTTCCAAATGAGAACAGTTGTATATCTCTGCTGGATTCCTTCATGCCAACTCCCCCTGGTTTGCCTCTACATTCTGAATTACTTCTGGTAAGGCTTTGATTTCTTTGCCCTGGGTAAACCTTTGCAGTTCGTCCAATTCTGTTTCTGTGAATACTTTATTTCGTGTTATAAATCGGCGTTGATCTGCTAGTCTCTGTTCTGTTATTTCTGATTCTGGATGTTGTTCTTTCCACAAATGGTGCATTCGTTTTAGATATCCTCTTCTTGTTGGACTTGATCTGTAGTAACAGATCATTATTTCTTTGTTTTCAATCACTGTGTATCTGCGACGGGTAAACACCTTTTCTTCCAGTAGTTCTGCAGCTGCTGGCCCTGGTTGCTCAGCCAACAGTCCTGAGTCCTGTAACCCATTTTTCACCAGATATCCAGGAACTCCAATATCTAGTGCGGACCTTGTTAACCCGGGCGACGTCCGAGCCGGTATGGCATTCTGCAATTTACGTCTCACCATATTTTTTATGGGAGAGACACTCTTTGTCTGACTCCTCTGATGAGACCTGTCCAGTATGGTTGAACCTCTGGCATAGCTCTCATCTTCCTCAGAGTACACAAGCCCCGCAACCACGTCAAGTTGTTGTTGTTGTTGTTATTATTATTATTATTATTTTAAATATATGTATATGTATCCTTGTTCTTAGGCCTTGTAGCAAAATTAGGTATATTGTTTTAAGAGAATTTGGAATTTCCTGCTGCCTGGAGGGATCGTGGATGGAGCACTGGCTGTGCGCTCCTATTCCGCCACTTTAAAAGCCTCCGGTTTAGCTGTGGAGCTTGTTTGAGCTCCGTTGATTTTTGCGGTTTTAAAAATGGTGGCCGCGGCCCGTTTTCCTCTGAAAACAGGCTCCGTGGCCTCCAGGAACTTTAAAATGCCTCCGATTTGCCTGTGGAGCTTGTTGCCTGTGGAGCTTGTTTGCGCTCTATTTATTTTATTGTTTTAAAAGGGTGGCCATGACCCGTTTCCCTCCGAAAACAGGCTCCGTGGCCTCCAGGGAGTTCCTGGCACCCGGGGAATTTGAAATTGAAGCGCTGGCTGTGCGCTCCTATTTCGTTGTTTTTTGGGACATCCGGGCCGAGGATTGCCTTTGTTGCCTTAAAAGGCAACTAAAATGGCGCCCACGGTTGCCCTAGGCTGCTGGGGCAATCTCCGACAATCCGAATTCAAGTTTGAATCCGGACCTGGAGCTTGTTATTTTTTCCCCCAAATTGGGAAAAAAATTGTTGGAGGTTGGGGAGAAAGGCTCAGCAAGTGGTCTCTGCTGATGCCTTCTTTCCCCCCTCCCACCCCCAGAGCCCTGGGGATGGCTGGGATCTGTGGGGAAGTTTCCCCCCACACACCCCCTTTTTAAAATTAGTTTGAAATCAGGAATGATCTCAAAAAGGCATGTGGAAAATTTTTTTATATAGGGCAAAATTTTTAGGAGGGAAGCCAATCATTAAGGATAATTCATCAATGGGTTGCTTTGTCTAACCTGATAGCTGAGAGCCAATGTCAAAACGAGTCTTCCGGAGCAGAGACCAAGTTAAGAATGGATGCTACAGGAAGAGGGGGCGTGTCAAGTTTTGGCTACTTGGTCTCAAGAGCAGGCAGACAGAGAAAACCCATCGGTGGATTATCCATCTCCTGTACTGGAGAAAGCAGAATTTATTCCAACTCCTTTGCTAAGTATTGGAAGTACTTTTGGAGAGGCAATTATCACGCAACCACCTTACTGTAATTCATTCACTGAATTTTACAAATGCTCCAGGTAACAATATCATCAATTTGTAACCCTTCCATCTTTCTCAGAACTATATCTTCTTTTTCCTTTCAAGGAAAAAAAAACTTTAAACACTGATAGACTGATAATTGCCCAACATTTTTCTTTCAGATGTCAACGCTGCTAATATTGAATATTCTTGCTTTGACAAATTATGCTGAACTGTCTGGCACTTTTAGAGTTAATTCAGAGAGGAATGAGGGAGGAGGGAAAAGCCCGTGAAAGAGGAGAAGAGAACCTTTTCCCTTCAAACTAATTGGAGAACGTAAATCATGACAGCAAAATAAGGGAGGGGAATGCTAGCAAAAATAATTGTTCGGTGGGTGGGAATTTCAGATCTTAGTATTCCTTTTCATCATGCCCGTGCTGACATTTTGTCACATAAATAAAAATACTTTTTTAGGATAAAATGCCTGGAAGTTCTTTGAAGTGTTTCATTAGTCGGAATCATGACATCATATATCTGCAAGAACTCTAAATGGAACATTTTGCAAAAAAATAAAAGCAAAATTGTGGATCAGTTTCCATCTCAAATGCTTTTTAAAAAATTGGCAGGTAGTAATCATGGTTTACAAAGTTATATTATACTGAGTTTTGGGAAAATTGAAATTGAAAAACAGCTTAATCTTTTGTGAACTTTTATATTATTCTTGGCCTGAAAAAGTTATTGTCATGCTGATTTATTTCTTATAATTAAGTTATTAAAATGTAATTACATTATGAAAGAGCAAATATAAAAAGTGTAAAACAAAGATATATCCTCATTCTTAGTTCTGAGAATATAGGGAAAACTATTATGGTTTTCCAGGTAATATTCTGAATTTTGAAGAATATTCAATTCCCAATTCAGTTTTGATCCAATTTCATCTATAACACTAGGGTACTGTAATTAGAAAATAAGAGATAAGCCTCTTTTCAAGTAGTAGTCAGTTTTAATGGAGTTCTGAGATATACCAAGCTCAATGTTAGAGCACATAGGTTGAGAAGTCTCAGTCTCTGACATTTGTGCCTAGAAACAAATTCAGAGCACAGAGCTACAAAATCACGCTGCCCCAGAACCTGCACACTCAATCCACGAAGACTTTATAGATCCAGATGGACTGACACGTGGACTGACTGATTGAAAGAATACTGTTGTGCAGAGTTCAGTTTGGCATTAGTGCTAAAAGCAAAAATGCAAGAAACTCACCAGAGTGTGTCCTGAGGTGTCCTGTGAGGGCATCCCTTCTTCGGCAGGCATAGCTACAGAAGGGACATTTGAATGGTTTTTCTCCAGAGTGTAATTTGATGTGCCTCAGTAGATTCCCCTTTTGGGTGAAAGAAGCTCCACACTGGTTACAGTGAAAGGGACGCTCACCTATAGCAGATGAAAGAAGAGAAACAACACTAAGAAACACTAATTGAAAGATCATTAATAGCTAGATAGGTTGAAAAATCTTCTTCCTCGACATATATTACGACCATCTGAAAAATAAGGAAGCAATTCATAGCAGCTAGAATGGCCTTAGCAGCTCTTTCGTAGCCTTTTTTTCAAACCACATTATCTGATAATCAAGCCCCATGACTTCATTATTCAGCTATTGTAGGCATCTAAATTAAATGGGACAATTGCAATACTTGAAGCAGACAAGAGCTATGTTAAGGAAAGGACAGTTGTCAACTGTAGAAAAGGAAAGCTCAGAAACAGCTAGGACGACCAATGATCAAATTAAGTACAGTATGTTATGTTCATACAATCTTGCAGAATCCAAGAAAAAGCTACAAAATCATCTGAAAATCATGAAGAATTAAATTATCTCCTGCCACAAAATTAAAACTGCAAATGTAAGAATTGTATACAGGCATTTTAAGCTTCATCAATGATAAATTCTTTTCCACAATTCAAGCAGACATTAGCACGGCCAAATACATTTCTCTATCTGCAAGTAAAGAACCATTTAAAATATGGCAGAGGGAATCCTCAATTTATAACTGTCAAAACATTCTTCTGTAATGTTGTGATGTGACTGACAAAGTAACAGGTCAGTTAATTCTGCAAAGAAAGAACATTGTTGTTTATATTATTGTTCTTCTTAAATAATTTAGGTATATTGATGAGGGAACAGTGAAGTAACTTCTAAGCAATCTGAAGCTGTACATTTTACAGGTTAGCAGGTTAAATATAATTAATGCTAATTAATACTAATCTAAAATAGGTTGTAGTTTCAGTTCTTGTGAATTCAAACTAAATTGTAAACTTAGATTTTAGAAATCAAATTACATTTGTAATTCAACTATCTGCAAAGCTTTTCATATGACTATTAATAGTGGCACCCTAGCATACTGAATGAAGTAGCTGATAGTTTTGTCAAACCCTAATGTACTGTCTTGGATATGAGCTAGTACCATGAAAGGAAAACAAAAGCACTTTTAAGTTGCATCCACAACCTATTTTTTTTTCTGAATTGATTAAACTCAAACTTGAATAACCAGCTCTGAATACCTTTTTAAGAAGGATTTTAAAAATGATAAATTTCATGAATGGGCATCAAGTACAATCAGGGACAGGTTAGGCTGATGAAGACAGAAGGAAGAAATTGGGTGTGTTCTCTCAAATACTTGAAAGAAAAAGGATATTTTGATTCAGGATGCAGGTCATAGAATAATAACTGGCAAAGTGAATTCTAATTGAATATTACAAAAAACTTCCTAAGGGTAACAAGAATTTGTCTATGGAACCAATTGCTGAGAGAGAGAGAGGAGACTGCTATTCAGTAGATCTGAATCAGGCAGGAAGGATATACGTTGCATGGCATGAGGTTTTCTGTGGTTTTCTGCAACAGAAGCAGAAAGGATCCAAACACAGCCTGTATGTTTTCTCCTAAGTTGATTAATCCTTTGGTTCCCCCCAATTAGAGTTTATTTCAGATTTTCAAGGTACAATCATTTAATATCATTAACTAAGGAAGAACTTCACTGTTCAGAGTATTGAATGTTTCTGGAAGATGACTCAAAATTACAGTTTGGCCATTCTGTTACTGAGGACGGTTTTAAGTAATTGACACAATACCCTTGGCTATGCCCCAATCAATACCTATATATCAAAACTTATTTGTAGAATTTTGTATACAGGTTTCACAAAAGGCTAAGAAATAATTCATGATGCATATTAATATCATGCCAGAGTGCAGCAGCTCAGCAGCTAATTATATTTCATAACCACAATTACTGCCTACTTCTGTTTACACTGGGGGTGTTACATCACCACAAGTCTAAAAAGAAAAGCTTCCAGGAGACTAGGCAAGGGATGTGTAATAAACTTGTTTTATTTCTTCCAGGTTGATTCAAATGCAAACAACTAGTGACTAAAATGAAAGGTAGTTAACATATTCTTCTCCATATAGTTACAAGGTATGTATGGGTGTGTGTATATGTATGCATGTGTAGATATCTCTGTGTGTATGTGTATATGTGTGAGCTGTGTGTAATATGTGTGTGTAATGTCAGTTCTGAAATCCTTCAATCATATTTCAAAATAGCTCTCGTGTGTTACTTCAGCAGTAATTTACACTTGGAGCTCAATAGGGGGATAAGAGTTCTGAGGTAACAGGCTCTGCCAGGCAGCAGTTAGAAGATAAACTTTGGCAAAAGTAAACAAGTTAGCACATTAGACAGAATCTTAGCTATGGATGAGTGAAAAAGAAGGTTATATAGAGGGTAATAATTTGACCTAATGGTTATTGCACTAGGCTAGAAAATGGGAGACGGTGAGTTCCAGTCCAACCTTAGGCATGAAAGTCAGCTAGATAACTTTGGGTCAGTCACTCTCTCTCATCCCAACCCATCTGACAAGATTGTTATTGTTAGAATGTAAGAGGAGGAAGGAGAATTAGATATGGTCATCACCTTGAATTATTGATAAAAATAATAAAGGTGTGGAGAAGATGGATAAATTATGTACAGAATAAATATGGGATTAGAAAGTATCATTTAGTTTTTGAATAACTTATAGTTTAAAGTGGGAATTGTTTATATTGTTTTTGTTTTTCTTTAAAATTTTCTTGTATTTGAGTTAAAGTATTTTATGGATTTGGTTATTGGTATAGTTGGATAAGCTTAGTTAGAATTTGTTTGCTTATTTGTAACCCTGTAATCAGCTCTGGGAAGTGAGGGGGGTTTAGGGTTAGGGTGGGGGGAGGGAAAGAGGGATATTGTATTGTAATAATTTGTATAAAATTTTTCAATAAAAAAAATAATAATAAAGGTGAGATTAAAAAAATCTAAATAATGCGGTATCTCCTTTGTAGATGAAAGAGGTCCAATTCATTCCACCATCTCAGAAATCAGATACTTCATTGGCTGTATGTTTAGATCACTGTCTGCAACAACCCTGCCAGCCCATCAGTTTCCTTGGTGTTACCATACTACTAATAAAGTTCTCAGTGGTGGGATTCAAATATGTGAACAACCGGTTCTCTGTGTGGATGCTACTTCTGAAAGTCCATTCTGGGCCTGGGCAACAAAAAATTAGCTACTGGTTCTGCTGAAGTAGTGCGAACTGGCTGAATCCCACCACTGAAAGTTCTACCTTTTACCTAGGAATAGCCACTATTTTCTTTTTGAAATTAAACTAAAAGACTTAAACATGTAAACTACTTTTCCATAAAGGGATAGTTTCATTTGATAAAACATCTAAGCAATGCCTGGGGTCAGCAAAAACAGAGAACAAAATTACATCAAAACAGAAATAATTTCTGTACGGTTGAGAACATCTGAATAGTCAATGCGCCACTGCTTTATTCTGAAAAAGAACAAAAAAGTATTCCTCAATAGAGGAAATGTAATGGCTCTGAGAAGAGCACTGCTTATATAATCTTTCTTTCTTTTTTTAAGATCATAATGTTACTTTAGAAAAATGCTGAAGTGCCTGAAGTATAAAATGTCCAAATTATCTCTGCCAGTATATCACAACCTAAAATTTGAAACTGCTTTAAAGTGAATTCCTATGTTTTATATCCAGGTTACATTAGTGACAATTACTTTGTAACACTGCTCTCCACATGAAAACATCCAAACAATTAAATGTTTTCTTGAATGTATGAAACCACATTATTGTGAGATGAAGCACTAGAGCTGAGTATTAAGTTAAGTATTATGTGTTATAAATGGCACCAACTTTGCAAACCCTCAGGAAGAGTTTTCCCTCACCATCTGGGATCCTTTTTAACAGAGATACCATAGATTGATCCCACAGTCTTCTATATACAAAGCACGTGTTTTATTTCTGAGCCATTTTTAGTCTTTTCAAGAAAATATGCAGTCTATTTTGCTCTAGACTGGATATTCTTCACTTCTCAATTTCTCTCTCTTGTTTTTGCTTGTTAATCCTTTGTGGGCTTTTGGAATTTCTCTCCCCTTCCCCACTTTATTTTTTTTTAAAGGCCTAATATTAGAGAATCTTAGAGGTAATAAGCAAGTATACAAATAAAAGCTGCCTATCCTGATGATAACCCAATCACTTTTACTGAGCTTTCCTCGGATTCTGGAACTTCCCAGTCATAGAAAAGTTAAGTTGATTCACATATCCACCAAATGAAATTATTTACATTTTGACATATTGTGTATAGCTGGCCAGTACATTTTGTAAACTTTAGGTTTATGGTTTGATATGCTGTGTGAATCTAGTCAATAATGGGTTATTCAGTAAATTGTGATTTGGTATGTTGTATGGAAACAGGCTTAATGTTATATCTGCACAATGTCTGCTACCATGTTTTCTTCTTATAAACCAGATCTTCAAACCATAATAGCCAGATCTAGGTTTCTTAATGTTGGATGTAACATTGTGTTGTTGTTTCCTAGTAATTACATTTTCCCACACAGTCAGGGGAAGCAATTTGGCTTTTTATTTTCTGTGAACAGAATCAGTCATAACTAATATTTACAATACGCAGAATAATTTTTCAGATGCTGATTGCTGCCAATTAATGCTAAAAACAAGCTACTGTATAATATGCCACTACAGATCAATGGTGTCCTATACAATTGGAAAGATATTGAGAATCAAGGAAAGGACATTTCATTCTCTAGAACTGTGCCCATTTCAGCTGATAAAGGTGGGTAGGAAAGAGTAGCCAGATGGGCGAGAAACAATACCTCTTTATGCAAGGAGCTGATATCCTGAAAGAGGCTGTGCTGTGATCTAGAGCTGGATCCTATGATTTTTCTACTACCCACTGAAATATATCCACTGTGACAAGCAAGGTGTCACTATTCTGAAAGAGGCCAATTACTCTTGCTTTGTGCCTGGATATAGCAATGAAAGACAGTGACCTCTGAAAGCAGAAGGATAGGGGATACTACCATGTTAATCTTTCTAGACTTCTCAAAAGTGTTTGATACTAATGAATAAGAAATATTGATAGATATTACCATATGTGGTGGGAATGCCCAAAGGCTCGTGAGTATTGGAACAGGACACGAAGTTGGGTGAAAGATATATTAATATTGGACTTAGAGTTAAAACCTGAACTCTTCTTGTTGGGAATAACTACAGAGAAATACGATAAGGGAACAATCTATTTGCTGTTACACATCTTGACTGCAGCTAGGCTTGCATTTGCGCAAAAATGGAAGAGCAAAGAAATTCCCACAGAGGAAGAGTTACTATATAAAATATTAGCATGTGCAGAAATGGACAGGCTCACAATGGTATTGAAAGACAAATGTGGATCAGTTTATTTTGAAACCTGGGATAAATTTTACCGCTGGAGGGATTCGAGGAGGACGGTTGGGATTAAAGACTAGTGTTAAGATAGAAATATATGTTATTTTAGAATAAGTACTGTATATAAAACTTAGATGTATATCTAGAGATGAAGAATCGATTGTAAAATGTGGAATATTTGGATAAGAATGTATATACTGGAATGTCATGTTATATTCAATGTTTTTTAATTGTATTATAAATAAAATTTTGTAAAAAAAAAAAAAAGAAATATTGATAGATGTCTCAGTGATTTGGGAGCCAGAAGAAATCAGAGGTTCCATTCCTCTCTGCTGGACCAATATTAGAGAGTAACTTAAGAATTTATTATTGTTTATACATAGGATGCTATCTTTTATTCTTGCTACTCAAAGTTCACATAAAACACTGGAGGAAGAAATCGGGAATTTTGAGTATGGTGCCATCCATACTACACAAAAATGATATGCAACTTAGACAATTTGGGTTGGAAATGTAAATTTTACTCAAGCGCAAAATTTAAGAGAAAATTTTTATAAAATGTTTTATAGATGGCATTTGGATCCCCAAAAGTTGTCCCGCATGTATCCGAATTTACAGCCCAAATGTTGGAGATGTGGAAGTCTAGATGCAACCTATTTTCACATTTCGTGGACTTGTAGAGATATAAAAGCTTTTTGGATTAAGATTTGGTAGAATATTCAAAAGATTTTTAAGAGAAAGATAAAGTTTACTCCGTAGTTATTTTTGTTGGGTATTATTGCAGATTTTGATGTTAAAGAAATCAATTTGATGTTGAATCTTATAACAGCTGCAAGATTACTAATGGGGCAATATTGGAAGAAAAACTATCCACCTATTATGGAAGAATGGATACTTAAGGTGTCTAATTTAGCAGAAATGGCGAAAATCTCCCCCTATTTGAAGGACCATTCACAAGAAAAATATATTTGGTTTGGAGAAGATGGATTGATTACATTCAAAAGAAATTTGAAACTGAAAAGTACTGTATTATCTTGCATATGAGTAGATTTTAGATAATTATTAATAGTTTTAATTATATTATTATTTTTGTTTATAATTTGTTAATACTTGTTTTGAAAAGGAATTAAAGTGTGTTATGGTTTTGATTGATAGTATAGTTGGTTAATGTTAGTTAGATTATGTTTGTTTATTTGTTACCCTGTAATCAGCTCTGGGAAGTGGGGTGGGAAGGGGTAGGAGGGGTTTATATTGTATTAAATTTGTAAAACTTTTAATAAAAAAAATGATATGCAACTTTATCTCCATCTGAATCAAGGAAAGTACAGATGCTTACAGTTTCTTAGAGGCTATGATCAATTACATATGATCCAACAAATAAAAGCTGAATCTAAATAAGATGGAGGAGCAGTGGATAGCTGAATTAAGAAGATGGTCTATTATGGATGAAATCTTACTTTCTTGAAAAATAGGTCTATCACTTGGGACTTTCCTTTATACAACGGTGGAAATTCCTTGATACAAAACTTTGTTAATTCAAACAAAAACATCCTTGATACAAATAGAGAGAGTGACTGCTCTGGGAAATGAGATCATTTTCAGGAAGGTATGTTATTATTGTAGAAATGTTCTGCTGTTGAGCAGTCCCAATAAAATTAATTTGAGTTTCCTACTTCAGGTATGCAGCCTTCTGTATTGTTAAATTATTGAAAGAGGGTGACAGATCATTGTACATACAACTCATTTCCAAGCAAAGTCCTGTCAGATGGGCTGCACACCAATAAAGATACACTGTTAATGAAATGTGTGGATTGAAGTGACCAGATGGATCCTATTCCCTACCAGACCAATCATTACATCTATAAAGTTAAATCTCCTATAGGTCCCTCACTCCCACAGCAGGTCTTAGAAACAGTTTTTAAAATAGAATTGACTACGGATTTTTCCAAACGGCACAGTTGCAAAAAAAAAAAAAGTAAATTGTCCCTCCAGTAATTGATGATTTTCCTGGGTCTTACCATTCCACTTTGTCTCAGCTTCCTCCTGTTGCAGTCATTAGGTGTGGTGCAAACAGGGAACTTTTGTTTTTAGCCAGGGAGGTAGCCAGGTTACACAGGAGTAAACTCATGGGGCAGTCTTGCTGATCACTTGGAAGGGGACTGGGCAAAACAGCCACAATAGACAAAATTTGGGTTAGCACGCCATTCTAATCAGCTCCAGTACCAGCTAAAACTGGTTTTAACACCCCAATATTTTATTTCCTTTACAAGTGAAGAAGGTTTTTGCAAAGCTGGGAGGGGGAAGATGAGGCACTCTCTACTAATCAAATGATTACAAAGGGGGAACATTGGTGACTAGCTCTCTGCAAGTCTTATCTGCCCACAAAAAAGCAAACCTGTCCATTCTAGTTGTGTCCATCTGTCCTTAAGTAGTCAGAACAACCTGCTCATGCTCTGCTTAATTTTTATTTCACTTGGCTAAGATAAAGCCTGGTCATCTGCAAGCCCCCCCCCCCCCGAAAACCTCCATCCTTCCCCAACAAAAAACCTTACTCTGGTTTCTTCTTCTTTCCTTGCAACAATTTCCTTTGTCAACACAGCCCTTTTGTTGTTGTTTTGTATCTCACCTTAATCAGCCTCCAGGGGACAAAACAAAGGGAGTTAGTCTTGTTCCCTTCTTTCTTGTGAGGAAAGGAAAAGAAAGAGAGAAGGAGAAGCCAAATATATGTGGAGGCAGGGAATGTTGAGAGAAAGATTATTCTCCCATATAAGCAATTAATCAATGTATAAAGCAAATCTTCCTCGCTCTTCACACAACAGCTTGCTAAATAGAAGTTATTGGGGAGAAATATATTTAAAGTGTGAAAGATGGAAGCTGTTTCTGCATTTCTGGAGGAAAGTTCTGGAGGAAGAGAGCAAAAGACATTGTCTGGGAAAGCAGCTTACACTGGAAATGAAAGGAAAGCAGAATACAAGAGACCAAGTGAACATGGCCCCTGCCAAATGGGTCTGCAATATTTCTGTGAATGGCAAGGAAAGAATGAAATCCTTGTAAATGCTATTCAGACAACATTGAAGAGATCAGCACTTTCAGGAACGAGTTATAGACAAGTTATTGGAGTGGAATTATTACCGGGCAAAATGCATTATAAGTATATGTCAAACATATCTACATTTAGAAAATCCCATCAACTCCCTTATGGTGTGCTTTTTATGAACATTTCCATAGAGTAAGGATAGAGTCTTCTCACTCCATAAGCATATTAAACACTGAAATTGAAAAAATAAATCCTGGTTTCTTGATAGCAGAGTGACTATCTTAGTCCAGGAAGTACAAGGAAGATGCACTGGTAGCATCAGATGAAGGTTGTATTTAGTTAAGCAGCTACAGGTTAGATCCTTCCTATAATATCTAACAAAACAGGGGAGAAAATCCAAGCAAACTGATCCCAGAGTTCAGTGGACAGGGATCTGTTAATCAATTTGAGGCACGGTAGCTTTTGGTATTTTTAAGGATGGGGGGGGGGGGTTGCACACATGAATATACTTTTCATTGTGGATCTGCAACATACCAAAATCTGATTTGTGAGTCTACCCTAACCATATGCCATTCTTGACAGTTCCCCAATAAATTCAGATTTCTCTAAAAATGGAGACTACTTGGCATATAGAGACTAGAAGCTGGTAGACTGTTTCCATGCTGGATCTGTTACCGGTCTCTGTGACATTCTTGTGAAGGATATTCTAATGTTATTAAATATTTTATATCACCAAGTGGCCTCCAGAAATGATAGAAGGGGAGGATTTTGTAAAATCAATAAAAATAGAGGTTCATATTTAAAGACAGCCAATTTAGTATATACCTGCATAGTGAAGGAGACTTAATATAGACGTTATCATTTCTCAAATATTACTGTGAAAGAGATAAGAACATAAAAGTATGTTTTTTAATATTTACTTCCTAGTAAGCACAGTTTGAAAAGAAAGGATTTCCCATTACTGCACATGATTATCAATGATGAACTGAGAAATACTAGAGAACAGACGTAGGCAATATCAACATCAGATGCCAAAGGCAGTCATCACATTTTTTTTTTCTTTTGGCTGCTTACCAGTGTGACTCCTTTTATGTACCATAAGCACATTGGGCCCAATGCAAACCATGCCACAGACGTCACATTTCAGTTTACCATTCGGAAGCCGGATTCCTCCCTCGCCTGACAGCTCCTGCATTTTTCTGTTCTCCCCAATCTCCTGGTTTTCAATCAGGGGCTCTTCCAAACTGCTCCCTTCATCCTGCCCAATGATCCCATCTTCCCTCTTTAGACGTTTTCTGTTAGAATCCTCATCATCACTTTGCATTTCCCGCTTTATGGAATTTGCTGCAAAAGAAGAAGAAAAAGGAGGAGGAGGAGGAGGAGGAGGAAACATCATATTAAAAATAATTCTGTTTCCCTTACATTCATTTTTGAAAATAATACACAAGTATACTATTGCATTAATTTTAATCTCACTTTCAAAATATGGTTTATAAAGGATTTTCTTGACTCTTTAAAATTCTGAAATATTTAGTTAACTTACAAACTTGCTCTGCAGAGTGTAGCACATTATGGGCTTATGGATATGAACAAGCCAGGACATAACTATAGAATCAGGGAGCAGGACATAAACACAGGACCAGGAGCTGTTGCTATTTTTTAATATTTGCAAATATCATTTGTATCTCCAAGTCTGTCTTGGCTCCTGAGAGTCATGGCTGGCCTAGTCCCTGAAGTTTTCCTGGCCAAGTTTTTGAAAGTAGTTTGCTCTTGCCTGCTTCCTAGGGCTGGAGACAAAGTGATTGGTTTAAGGTCACCCAGCTGGCTTTATGCCTAAACTGGAACTAGAACTCACAGTTTCCCCGTTTCTAGTCTGGTGCCTTAATCACCACATCAAACTAGCTCTCCTATTTTTTATCATACTTATTAACTTCAATAATCCCAACAAAATGCAATAGGGCTGGTTTGTTAAGTCACTGATCTAGGAAGAAAAAATCAGAAAAGACATTGTCTGAGTAGGGCCCAGCCATAACTCAGTACTACAAGGCACTGCATATTTTCAGGCAACAGTAAGTTAAGACTAGCAGTCCATAAGATATTACTGTTACAAGCATGTCCTATTACAAGAATCCCTGATTAAGGAGATCTGGACTGCTATAAGGGGATAAATTTAAACCGTTTCCCCATTCCTAGTTGCCATCTAGAGACTTTGGTATTCCAGTTAAATTTGAAAGATCCATTAATTCCCTGTGATTCCTTTCTTTATTCCCTTAGACAGACTTTCCCAAACTGGCACTGCCAGATGCAAGGTGGCTACAATGGGGGTAGCTAATATTCTGTATATAACAGATAGAAATTCTAAGAGCATCATCAACATATCTGATAATCAAGCTGAGATAGGGGGCCTAGGACACTAATCTAATTGTTAAGAGCAATCTATATTGATCTCAAGACAAATTATACTTTTATGACCCCATGACATCCCTCCTTGCTCAACGTTCATTCAATAATATTTCTTTCAGCTAGGTTATCATCCAATAGCAAAAATTTAAAAGAGAAGAGAGTTCTTTTAAAATAGGAGAAAAAGGCTGTGGCTATTACATATCTTTTCAAATAGGTATTCCATTTGTCTTTGTATTTAAATAATAAATCTGTGACCATGTTTTAATGTTGATCCCATCTAAGAAAAGGTATTATTATTAATAACAATAATAATATTAATATTATTATTAGTTTAAAAACAGGATAAACATTTTTTGTAGCCGTTTGAAAAAAATATTTAAATTTGGAACTGGATTCAAATTTTGTTTAGGTATAGAATAGTCAAAATCTCATGAGTGCGTTTCTTTTATCTCTAATACTTGATTCAATAGTAATCCATTTAAGAGTAATATGCTAATGGGCACCAGTTTACAAACTGATTGTGAATCAATTCAAATTCAGATCAACCCAGCTAATTTGTGAACAAGCTTTGCTGTATAGAAACATACAAGTTGCGTTATATTGAATCATGTTATATTTTCACTAACAACTCTTTAGGCAAAGCAGACTCTTTCTACTCTAACACACCAAAAAATCACTTTAAGTGGGAGATTCAAAGGACTGATCTTGAGCCATTTCTCCTGCAACATGGGTTTTTATCCCTCCCAATGGAAATCTTAATAAAAATAACTATTCTTTCAAAATCAATCCAAATTGTTGAAACACTTTATTGGTACAGTTTTTTCTCTCTATATATAAAATAAGATGCATGCATGCAAAAAAATTAAATAAAAAATAAAGGAAATGAATACTTTTCTAGACAAGAAAGACATTTATTTTCTTATTTTGTTTCTTAAGAACAACAAGCTTGGGATTTCAGAAACTTTCTTATATTTGTCCTTTGGAAAGAAGTCCACAATTAACAGGGCCAACAATACGTCGATTGCATACCTCAAATATTTTTAACACTATCTTCCTTAACTTGTAATACTAATTTTTTCTTCTCAATCCTGGCTAGAATGCACTTAAGAATAATCAATAAAACAAAAGACTTTTTGCTTTGAATTACACAGATGTTTAGGTGTAGTTCTTTCTCATACTCTACTTTTTTTGTAGAAATGATTAAGTTCTACACTCCACAGAAAATAACTTTAGTCCCTATTGTCCTTTTCCTCTGACTTAACATCACCAGGAACCTGCCATGAGCACTTGTTGCTGTGTGAACATTTCCTCTGCTTCTGGGACTAAAAGAAAAAAATGGCAGCTCTCCAAGGAGGGGAATGCTGCTACAGAAGAGATCACCCTGACTCTTTACAAATAGTTATGTAATTTCTTCTGCCTAGCCTAACTTGATACACTGCAGGTATAGCTTTACTGGAGTTTTAACCAAGCCAATCTTTAAAAACAATGAAAAACTGGGAAATAAATCAGACTTCAATTTACTTAAAAACTTGCCTATTTCTAATTTTTCTTGAATTTACTCATCTCATTTTTACACACCCTGTATCACTGATATCTCTTAATCCGTCCTATTTATTCCTGCATTAGAAAATGTTTAAGCAGGTCCAAAATTTATTGGAAATTTCACATCTGTAAAACATTGGTATTTCTAAGGCATATTTCCAAAAGTAGTACAGTCAAAGAAATAAACATTCACAGTTTTTGTCAAAACTAAACATTTTAAAATCAATTTTATTCAAGAGACTAAAAAATTATTCAAGTCTTATCACTGCGATCCCTTAAGAATTCCTCAGGAGCGGGTGGTCTTCCCGCATGCAGATAAAATTCCACAAGATCTCAGGGGATAAGGAGAGAGTCCTTAACCTTGCTCTGCCCAGAAAGCAAATGTAGAGAAGGAGCAGTCTTGACCAAAATCTCTGGGAGCAAAATAGGCCTAGAGCCTCTGCTCCCTCTACCTGCAGAGTAATCCTTCACTATGAGGTATTTTTTTAACCTAGATCTCCCAGACGTCTTTAGATCAGTGGTCTCCAAACTTGGCAATTTTAAGACTTGTAGATTTCAACTCTCAGAATTCCCCAGCCAGCAATGGTTGGCTGTGGAATTCTGGGAGTTGAAGTCCACAAGTCTTAAAGTTGCCAAGTGTGGAGACCCACACTTTAGACTGTCACTAACTCACTCATAAAAGCAGCAAATAAGTAGCCATCCTGTTCAAGACTGGAAAAAATATAAAGTCTTTTCCCATCAGCAATAATGATGATGAAGTTTGTGCTGAGGAAAAGACATAGTAATTATGCTCATTGTGTGTTTGCTTCCCCACCACAAACTGGTTTTGAAAATCTCAAAACAGGTCTTTGACAAACTGCTGGGAGCAGGCATATGCTGGGGGATAGAAGAGCCTGTGAGTCCTCTTTTGAAGCAGAACTGGAGAAACAGATGCATTGGAGAAGTGTTGTTTAAACAGCTTGCTGGCTTGGGAATTCTGCATTAGAGGATGGACAGCCATATAGGAGGTAGATAGAAGATTACAGCCAACCCGTACACCAGAGGCTACTGATATATTTATTTTTATTTATTAATCAAATGTATATACCACCCATCTCACTATCTAAGTAACTCTGAACTGCATATTTACGTATTCCATCTGTATCCCACCTTTCATAAAAATGTCTCATAGAGGGTCAGATAAAAAGCAAACAATGGAATATCAAATAAAAAAGCAAACAATGGAATAAACTTTTCTTTCACTTGACCCAATCTGACTCTTATATCCTGAAAACAATATCAAATGTAAAGGCATTGTAGTGTAGATGTACATTTGAAGAACTTTTTTAAAAACCCACTGAACATTATATATGGCCATAGCCTGCCTATATGTCACAGTGTGGTTTATTCTGTACAGGTAGTTCTTGACCTACAATCATTCATTTAGTGACTGTTTGAAGATACAACAGCACTGAAAAAAGTGACCGGTTTGCACAAACACTCAGGACTACATGCCACGCGACCTGTCTATTGCCTTAGCTGTGAATAAAAGCATTCAAAAAGTTTTAAGCCTCATCTCTTTTTATTTTATTGTGGCTGTGCAAATGATTGGGAAGAAAGTTTTCCTGATACTTTTGCCATAATTGAAGATTTTTTTTGAAATATGTACACAGCTCTACATTTCATCACTAAAACATTTGGTGAAATTAAAGCAATTTGGATTTCTATTAATATAAGTATAATACTTATATAAGTAAAAGGAACGCAAGGATACTCAAATGTAAAGAAGCAGCAAAAACAAACAAACACGCCAATCACTGAAAGACCAAAGAATTGAATAGTAGAACAAAATACATAGTGTCCTTTCTGTCTCATGTTTCTGCAGAGGACCCTAATCTATTGTAAGCCCTAGAGTTATTATTCAGTTTTGAAAATCTGCAAATAAATAGCTGTCACGGGGGAGGGGGAGGGACAGGGGAGAACAGGGGCTTTGGCCCATCCAGGCTTACATTTATATTGTTCTGTCTGCAGCGACAGATGGTATTTCAATATATATATATATATATATATATATATATATATATATATATATATATATATATATATATATATATATATATATATATGGTACAAATAAAATACGAACACCAGGAGAGTATAAATATAAAAATATACTTTACTAAAAGCTGCCAAGCTTTCGTTTGGAAACTCCAAACATCATCAGGGCTAAGGAGCCAGTAAACAATGATGACTTAAATGGGTTTTGCCGGCATCTGCACCCGGCTCATGGACCGCGTCACCGGTCCCGGCCGGTTAATTAGTGTTCCAGATGTTTCTTTATTACTCTCCTTACGCTTCCTTCTATGGTTCTTCCGGATCATTCCTTCCACTATCTCATTACTGGTATTCATCTCCTCCAC